CTTGGAAGCAGAGGAGGAAGACGGGGTCGTCACATGCGGCTGAGATTTCTTCTTCTGGCGAGGTGTTGATGGTGGTGCGGGAGATGCTGGTGGTTTGATGGTGATTGCTGCAAGAGTGGGAGGCACAGGTGGTTTGGCGGTGATTTTCGCGAGTGCGAGAGGCGAACTTGGCTTGGGCGTGATTGCCGGTTGAGATGGACCGTCAGATGCTACTGATGTGCCTCCTGGCGTGTCAGAAGGACGCGATGGAGAACGCAAACCTGTGGAGCCATCTGAAGCATCTGCAAACTGACCTGGCTCTGCAGCACTCTCCAGACGTTCTTTAGAAGTAGTCTTAAGCAGCCTAATCTTAACCGGTTTGGCCTTGCCAGTACCATTCTTACTTGCCGCCGCCATTTCTTTAGACTTCTTTCTGGCTTCCTTGGCAGCTTCTAACTCAGCTAATCGTTGTAGAGTCTTCTGCGTCTTGCCGGGTGGGCGGCCCCTACCTTTCTTAACTGGAGGTGGTTCCTTACTGGATGTGGTCGATGGATTCTTAGCTGTGGCAGAATCGGTAGAAGCTTGTGATTTAGACTTAGTGTCAGCGTCGGAATCGTCACTAGATATGCCTCCATGCAGTCCACGGTAGTTCTCTGACAGATACAGACTTGCAACGGCGGCTGGCATGGTCAGTCCATCATCCGCAGCAGGTCTTCCAGCAAAGAGTGGTAGTGCTGACGTGGCCGCGGTCCTGTTGGGGACAGGCGACCCCGGTGGCTGCACCGACAACTTATCAGCGTTGAGTGCGGCGCTAGGGCCAGCAGCTTGAGCAGAGCCGTCACCAAGTATTGCGGCGCTAGGGCCAGCAGCTTGAGCAGTACCGTCACCCAGTATTGCACCGGGTGTCTCTTCGGCCATTGGCATCATCGTCGCAAAGCCATCATCTGCACAGAGAAACCACAACGAAGTGGTTTTGTAACGCTAACCACATCTTGCTACACAGATTTCCCAGACCTCCAGTGCTATCTCTACACTGCAGACAAACAACCTACACTGAGAGCACTATTACTATTAGATAGCGGCACTAAGGAAACTCGCAGTTTACAACAATCAAGGACTCGAGCCAAAAACGCTTCAAATATGCACAAGCTGCAATGAAACGTACATACGCAGTATCCAACTCAGCTGACTTACTAGACATAGTTACACACTGCACAATGCAATCACATGTTTTACAACTCAGTGTTGAATGGTCATGGCCAGCAATCGAGGACATCTGGGAGTTGTAATTTTTGTACTCCTCCGAGGTGTGATTTTTGGCGTGCTGGGCCAAGCACAAGGAAGCCACCTGTCAAAAAAATGAAGAAAACGGTTGTTGTTTGATCCTTTGGTGTAATCTTTGTAGCTAGTCGAAGCAAGTTGCTGTTTGGAGCAGAAACGCTGAAATTGACTATTTTCTGCATGTACTCATGCATGTACTCATGTACTCAGGCATGCAGTCTCACTCGTATTTTAGCTCTTTTTCTGGAATGGAAACTGCTCTGCGCCCCTTGGTGAACATTTCCTGCGCTCGTGGAGCAGCTGAAAAGGACCACTGGTATGTCTGGTTCCTGGTTTGAAAGTGGAGAGTCGACTTTTGTGTCTTGAAAAAGGAGTAGAGAGTGATAAAGGTACGTCTGTAGCTTATTTTGAGTGCTCCTCGTACATTTTTGATCGTGATAGAAATTCTCAGACCAAAGTCAGCTGATGGCCGATCAGTTTTCTTGTGGATTTTTTAGTTGTTTCGTCTCGTATCTATGTCAGTATCGTGATGGTGAAGTGGAGAGGGTGATTTTCTTCCTCTGGGCTTCGTTCGGCCGACTTTGTTTCGTCCTCGTTGAAAAGTGATGCTGATAAAAAGGTCGATTTGCAAAATTATGTTGATTTTGAATGTACGTGATGACATGCGATTGCTGGCTATGATTGCTACATGCCGACAATATTCAACTGCCACACTGACAAAACCCAGCAATGCTATCTATGGTAACAGGACCACATGCAGGCAATACGAAGCGATGCCTAGCCAAGATCGGCACAGCGGTCACTTACCTACAATGGTGTCCGTGTTCGTTCTGGATATCCTTGGCGGTAAGCACTGTAACATCTCATCAGATTCATCGCTCTCAATAGACTCTCCATCGTCCATTGGCTCATCGTGATTGTTCACTACCGGGCTGTTGTTGTCCAGCTCGTGAAGACCGCGTGCAGCTGGTATTCCTGCAAATGCATTCAATGTGTAAATCAAAGACTTTCAGCTTCCTGGCATAAATCAAGACACCATCATTTCCTGGAAAAGAAACTCAAATTGACAGTGAAGTGAGACTGTACTGATATGTAGAGTGTACTGATATGTAGAGTGTATGCACACTGGATCCAGGATCGTCGGGACCAGTTTTTGATTGGTCCGGCCATTCCCCAGCCTTTCATACTAACTTTAATATGTGTATGATACGGCGGCTATACATATAACCTCTCAGCAGCAAACACACGTTGGTGGCCAAAAAGTAACAGGTGGGCCGGCCATGGCCTGACCAACCGGGCGGGTTCCGCCGGGCCTGGGACCCAACCAGCTCATCAGTGATACATATTCCCTTGATCATCAATGATATGCCATGGGCTTTCCAACCTGCTTCTCTCTGCGGTGAGATTCCCAAACACCTGTACTTGGCAATTCTTCTACAATAATGCTGCATGGGAAATCTGAAGCCAACCTTCGCAAACCCGATCAACTAACTGCATTGTCGGGGTAGTAGCCAGGTGTGGAGCTCACGCTTCCAGCTGATACTGGATTGACTCGCCACTGCCATCGGCATAAACCATCAGCTCCATATCAGAGCAGCCAGTTCAATGCCTCAATTGTTACCGCTGAAATCATGCTACTTCTGAGTTCTGATATAGCTCGAGCTTTTAATTCCATTGGCCAAATATCCAGATACAACGGGAGTAGTTTTGACCCAATCTGAAAGGCATTTAAGTATTAGGATGCTTTCTGCAGATGATCAGAGTTTGCTGCAGTCTTCCGATCCCTGCTGGTGATGAATACCTTTTTAGATGGTTCCTTTTCAAATGTTTCGCGCGTTGCTCATCAGGAATGGATTGATACAATTGCTGGAAGCTCGGGAGTGTTAGTATCGTGTTGAGAGTGGACGAGAGTCATTTAATTGAAACATTCATTTAAAACTCAGAACGATGACATTGACTACAAAATGCACGTACGGAAGTGTTTCAAAGTAGTCGACTGCACTGCATCGAAGATGACATGGTCTGGCGCCAGGCTATCAACTTCTTGCACAAACACCTTGAGATCGCTGAGCGAAATTCCCAAACTTTCCATCATCATAGACAGGTCGGAAAAATCAGATTCCGGCCGGCCGTCTGTGATAAGCACAATACACAAACACACACACACACACACACGCACAAACACATGCACGAGCGCATACACACATACACACACACACATATGGGCACACGTACACACATACTACACGTGTTGAAACACAGAGAGAATTGGTCCTGTCGTATCTTGAACGCACGAACTAGCTCATTGGCGCAGAGCAGTACTGAGAACACTCTTCCTTGGCTAGACAACTGTTACTGGTTAAGAACAAAGAAGAACAAAGAGGGTGAACTGTATACACGTACAGAAACTATGTGGTTCAATGCCAATTCAGCTCGCCCTCCCGATCGAAACACCACGAAGGGCGGATTACATTTACTAACATTTGCTACTGCCAAAGTCTGCAGTTTCCAGAAAAAGCAACATACACAGCCTAACAGAGTCACTTTGCTATAATAAATCACAGGTTGCCTTGGCTTTTTTGGTTCATACATATTCTTTGAGTTTCACGTATTACTGTAAATATACAAATTTTCGGCAGCTATTTAATTTCGGCTATATTCGGCACCGACCCAAAACGCCTAAATTAAAACGCCGATGAAATTTTTCACAGCATCTGTCGCACTATACCATGCTCTCTACCCCACGCCGAAAATAAAACGCCGCCGAAATGTCAAAAATCGTGAAGTGCCGAAATTTTGCAGCGCCGAAATTTTGTATATTTACAGTACTACGATCATCAGGCAATCATCATCTTGTGTACATATTCTTTGTTTAACTTTCGTTTTATTCCGTTTAAATTTGATGTGTTCTATTTCCTGTGAAAGAAGTTTGTTAGGACTGACACAACCTACTCGTGGCATATTTTGTGGAGCGCTTGGGTTGCAATGAAGCCGAGACCCTATCGTCGGTCAAGCTGCCCCTGCCTCTCCCCCACTCCTGCCATTCCATATGTCTCATCGCTGCCTTGCTGCTTTGTGCTGTCAAATGGTATGTGTTTTTTTTATTTTGAAAAAAAATACATACAAAGGTAAGGAACACAATAAAGAAGTTGATCCTTCTTCCTTCACGGATTTCACATGCTTGCGAGTCGATTGGAGGAAAAAGTGTCCGCGCGCATGTCGTCGGCCCTCTAAGAATTGAGCACAAGTATTCAGTGACGAGCTAGAAACGGCAGCACAACAATCCTCTATGCCAAGAAGATGAAGCTGCCAACGTCTGTCTCCAATCGGCCCTTCAGTGGTATGGTCTGCAGTTCAACAGCATTGATCTAGCAGAATAATTTTGCCAAGTCATCAACGCAGTCATGGTATCCATCGAACATCAATGGTTTGCAATCTTGATAATGATGGGGGTGCGAGGGTACGTGAATCACACATACAGTGTGGCCACCAAAGTTCCTCAGTTATACCTTGCCCTAGTCCAGTGAGTTATAGATGCCCACCATCTATGATCTAAGGTCTCCTAACAGCTCGGAGCTCAGCTGAGTGGCCTGGGCAATACCAAGTTTTCTAGCCATACATTGTAGCTGTGTTGAGATGCTTGAAGTATCTACTGGAGGTCCAGGATGAACTGATGCATGGGTTTTTGCTACCTGGTCCAGCCCAGGGCTGATACGACTCAGCTGAAGCGGGCTTTTACAAGTAGACGACGTGCGTTTACTGTGGGTCTGCATGATCGTACAGTAGAAGAAGCAGAGGGCAAGAGAGATGTTTGCCAGAGTTAGTGCAGTGGAGAGTGCACTGAACGAGATGCTGCTTCGATCACAAGAGATATATTTCCAACGACGAGTTGAGCTTGAGAAAAGCTTCAGTAGAAATGGAAGAAGTGGAAGAAGCCAAGAGCAAAGTAAGCGAAAAGTTCGAAGACTACATTGAGCACTGCGGAAAAGCAGAGTAACCATCCGTCGGCAATTTTGGTACTCGCAGTAGCACTGATCGGCGAAGGAGAGAGCGGAGTGATGGAGGAAGAGTCTCGTCATATTACGGCAGTGAGTACGACAGTGTTAGTGCGCCAACTGAATTAGGCACTGAGTTTGAGTATGGTGAAGCAGATATCGGCGAGCAGAGGCTGAGTGATCACCATACATCCTGCCACCTGATTTTATTTTTGTGTCTAGCGCGCTCCTACTTGCTGCTTGTTTCGCCCCGGTGGGTTTTACCTGTAGTTTTTCTTGGGCAGTGTTGCTGCGAAGTCTATTTGGTCCCCTGATCCCCTGTTTCACTTCCCTTTCATCCCATCCACCCTTCCAGGAAACTCCCTTGTCAAGCATCCATTTACTTTCGGAGAATCCTTCACATAAAGTATGAATGAATAGCAGTTGGTTAGACATGCGGCATATATGAAGCATGGCCAAGCTTTGTTCTACACACTATACCGAGAACTAGACAATGTTTGGAAGGGGCTCCCACTGAGAACCAGCCTAACCGAGGAAGATGCCGATTCACCTTCACAATCTTAGCACTCAAACGGTTATTACTGCAGCCTTGGGAACTGAGGAGAAACGTTGACTACGGGAACTGAGGAGAAACGTTGACTACGGGAACTGAGGAGAAGCGTTGCCTACGGGAGTGCAGTGAAACTCACTTAGTATGTACCCGCGTAAGACGTACACCTGCTTATCATGGTCCTTTTTCGTTGCACGGATTTTCCTCCCATAAAGCGTGCAAGATACAGATATGCGCGGATAGGATTGTACTCTCATAATTATGACGCACAACTCTTGTACTACGGACTTTTCAGCAGATACCAACAGAGCTAGCCTTGCATACTACATACTCAGGGGTGTAGCACCCGCTACGACTGGTACGACCATGGCCGTACCACTTTTCGAAAAGCGTGGTCCGTCCGGAACGTGCAAAACCGTAATAAAAAAGCAGGATCCATCGATGCATATGCGCATCAGACTTTGACCTTTTTCTAGACTCGTAGATCTGTTATGCATCTGCAGTCGTAGATCTACTGAGTACTGTACTCGACTCGACTGCACACTGCGCCAGAAGTGTGCCAGAAGTTCCCAGAACGCAGGATTTTGTGTCTTTTTTACAAATTTTTCCCGGGAGAGGTCCCCCGCACCCCCCTCCTACAAGGCCTTCGGCCGTACCACTTCAAAAACCCCTCCTACGCCCCTGATACTTTTTGAGTTTTTGGTGTTTTCATACATACATGTATTTACACAAGACAGGTTCGCTTGATAGGCACTTCAGTATGTTGAGAGTGCCGAGAATAGGAGACTGCTTGCAGCAATTTTCTGAGTGCAATAAAATATTTTCGAGCATTTTTGACATACCATGACCATGTAGAGTATAAGTGGGGCTGCAGGACTCCACTTTGGATAAGAACTACCTCGGATACTACATACTTGTTTTCCCCATTCCCTGAGAGGGTACATCTTGTCCGAGTTCCACTGTACAGTCATAATCTCTTTAAAGGGGAAGTATACCATAAAATCAAATTTTCACCAGTTGTAGTCTTCTGGGTGCTGAGTCGAATAGTCTTGGTCCGAGGAAGCTGCGACGCTCCCTTCCTACTTGAATCCCAATCGAACTCGCGCACTTCCACCGAAACTGGGTGACTGCGCCATACTAGATGGGGATTTGTATGCAAAATGTCACTAAAAGCGCCATTTCGTTCTTATAAAAGCACGGATGACCGCGATTGGGCCATATGTTGTAGTCTTTTGGACGCTGAGTCGACTGGTTTTGGTCCGAAAAGGCTGCGATGCAGCGTTCCTCCTTTATTCCCAATCGAACATGGTTGAACAAGCGGTCACGTGCTCCTGGGTGCCCAAATCACCTGGTCACCGCGCCAGCAGGCGACAACTTTCACACCAAGGTTCAACTCGAGTTCAACTCGAGTGACAGGACTGCACCCAAAAAAGGTAAAACAGGCTAGTAAGTTGTACCCTGCAGGCACGGTGACCAGGTGACTGGTGTACGCAGGAGCACATGACCGCTTGTTCAACCATGTTCGATTGGGAACAAAGGAGGAACGCTGCATCGCAGCCTTTTCGGACCAAAACCAGTCGACTCAGCGTCCAAAAGACTACAACATATGGGCGATTGGCGGTCATCCGTGCTTTAATAAGAACGAAATGGCGCTTTTAGTGACATTTTGCATACAAATCCCCATCTAGTAGGGCGCAGTCACCCAGTTTCGGTGGAAGTGCGCGAGTTCGATTGAGAATAAAGGAGGAAGGGAGCGTCTCAGCTTCCTCGGACCAAGACCATTCGACTCAGCACTCCGAAGACTACAACTGGTGAAAATTTGATTTTAGGGTATACTTCCCCTAAGGTATCAGCACCTGAACGTCACAGGCACCTCACTCTACGGGGCACTCTGTGGGCGAGTTTTAGTGGAAATATTACTTCACTTTCGGCCATTTTTCTGGACATAGACATCATATGCCAGATCTCTGGCACTCCCCATCAAAACGTACGCGAATCATAGTTATGGGCAGTGCCCGGTCCTGGACCGCCCGGATACAAGAGATATGAACGTAGTTTATAGCCGCATCCAAACAAATCTACTTGCATAATTCAGTTTTATTTTAGCCGCATAATTATTTTGACTATTCAGCCACATTTCGAATGTCAGCATTCTTTGGCGCATAACTATTTGAAAGATTTGTGCGCGCAAATGACGAGGGATAGAAATACAGATTGCTCGCTCTGGGAGAATTATTCGGAGAATTCAGCCTTTTTTTCATTCGAGGAGTCAGTCCCCCGATACAGAAGCTTGTTGAACTATGAAAGGACTAACTAAACTGGTCAGTGGTAGCAAGGAATGAAATAGCATGCACCTACCCAATTCGCTGTACTGCTTCGACAAAGTACCCATTCTGTGCATGTAGCGCTGTAGCAAGTCGACCATTACATCTAGCGCGCTGCCGTGAACGACTTGCCAGCCGATCACTTGGCAAACTCTGCCCACAGCTTCCCGAAGGACAGCGCGATAGTACGCCTCTGCCATTTCCCTGCGACACTCTTCGTTGCTCCAACTACAAACTTCCACCCCTATGAATCTCCGTGTTACATCATTTCAACCAATATTGTTCGCTAATACATTGTGCTATGAAAACACTCGTGTGTGCATCTCCAATGAAGCATTCTTTATTCGATGCAAGCCAGTTAGGAGCAAGAACGCCTGGGTCGAGCGTCTACCACGCATGCAACCACTGGAGCTCGAAACTAAAAAGCACATTGACGATGCAAACAACAGTGATGACATAGTCATTCCACACTCGTACTCTACACAAATCGTAGTCATAAATAGACAGTGGACTGTCTTTCTGGTTGTGGGCAGACTGCAGTGCAGAGTCCGGCTGCCCTGGCCTTGGCCTTGTTATCTCGAGTCGTAGATATACACCATGTCCATGGACATGGTAGATCTACACTACACTACACTACACTACATGTCATGTAGATCTACACGACTACACCATGTACACTACACTACAGCTAGCTACAGACCGTCTACTTGCCCTCACACTCACACTCACAGATTACAAAGATGTCGGCAGCATCTCCACTGTACTCACTACTACACTAGACACACTACATGACTTGTACAATCATTGTCATTGTATACAGGTACAGTATACAGTCTACACTACATTAGGGATCTCAGCGCGTGCACTGCGCATGCAGTTCGCGCATGCAGCCAAACGCGCATCAGAAGTGGCATGCAGAATTTTTGCCAAACATTGGCTATTTTTTGCAGAAAATTGAGATCTTGAACGAAGGAGAAATGGCTGAAATTTCCTTGCAAGGAGATGGTGGTTACAGGCTACCTGCTTACCAGAATGGGATCTTGTTTGGTATTTTGGCCGCCCATGTGTTCTGGAATCGATTTGTAGCTTTCGTTGGAAGGCGCGAAGCCGTTTTCGTTCCAAACGACAGGGTTCTTTCAGAGCAGAAAATGGCGACCATGCCGATCGTTGCCACGATCTCCGAGTTGAAAATCTCTGGATTTAACCGGGGAAAAGCTCTGGATTCAATGGTAAACCCGGCAGAAATACTTGATGTTGGATGTTGAGAGCTTGCAGGAAATAATTTGACCGAAGCGTTCATGCTCCACGTGACGGTGTTCGTTCTGGTGAATTTCTGCATTTCTGACATATCGCCGTGCACTGATATGGGCCGTTGTTCCAGAGACATCGATTGTCAGGTGTGGACAGGGTTTTGTTCGAGTAGTCGTGTGGAGACGTGGTTTGGTTCTCACGGGCAACAGGAGCGGCTCCTCGGGATGGCGAAAGCCAAATCTACCCAAAGCCGACTTCGCGATCGCCGATCTTCTGGCGGCGCATTTTCACTTATGCACTGCAAAAAGCGGCACAAGCTGTGGAAATCGTCGGATGATATTAGCCTATCAGTGTGCCCAGAACTTCTAGTGACTCTACTGAAGCATTAGCTTGAGTAATCTTTCTTTCTAGCCCTCTCTTTCTCTCTCTCTGTCCCTCTCTTTCTCTCTAAAAATGTTCCAAACTTCAAAATCTAGGACGAGCTGCATCGGGGAGTCGTCAAATACCGACTCACTGAGCCGGTTTTTGGCGATCGCCATTTTTTTTCAGTCTGCCATCGCCGCGTTGAAAAATCGATTACATCATTGAATGCGCAAAGCCCTGCGCAGTGTGCGCGCTGACATCCCTAACTACATTTTTGTACGTCATGAACATAACTTCATAAGTGCAAGGCGCGCTAGCTACGCGCCAGCACTACATTATTGCTACAAGTACAAATCAATCGGATTCATGACGTTTTTCAACCCTTTGTCAAACTCGAAGGCTTTCGCAGTTTCGAGAAAAAATGTTCGGCTTGTTTCATTTTGTTGGTGGCATATTCCGACCATTAATTGTGAGCGTAAACAGTCGAAACACCTGTGAACATTCGCATAATAAGTGCGAAGCAGAATGACTATGTCTCCAAACACTGGCTGTTGTAGGGGTGACGCAGGGTGAACCCCAAATGCTCCTTTTGCTTAGATAACCCTCTCTCTTATGTTGCGTTAAAACATAAGAGAGAGGAATCTTAGGGCTTGGCGGATAATGCCGGCAGAAAAATTGGCAGAATTAAGTACATTTTCTGGTAATTTTATCCATGTTTGGTATGTGGATAAAGAAATGGAGCAGAATTCGAGGAATTGCCCGCCATAAGGTTTGTATGGTTCTGCCAATTTCGGTGCAAAAAATGCAGAATCTGCCACCTTTTCGAGCATTATCCGGCAAGGCCTAGAGAGGATCCAAGTAGAAAAAATGGTGTAGCTCTTCAAAAAAGTTAGAACAACTTTGAAAAGAGTTTCATGTACTGTACTATTAATTTTCATGTACTTAGTGCATGAAAGACACTTTTGATGGGCTAGTCTGCAGTTGCTAAGGTTTTTATGCTAGACCAAGCGATCTCAGTGCAGGTTCGTCGCCTTCTGTGCCATAAAAACAAACGGCCAATCGCAGCAGGGCCAGCATACAACGGTTTCAGCCGTCCTCCCCACAGCCTGTTACGGCCCACACGGTGCAATGGGTAGGCAGGGATGAGGGCGGCCTCCGGTCGACAGCAACCGGCATGGTGAGCAGCATGCAGCCATGAAAAGGGAGCACGGAGCTGAAGCATACGACTGATAATATTATTATTATTACTCGGATAAGGTTTGAGAGTTGAGTATACCGCTGAAATTGCCAGTTTGCATTACGTTGTACTGGAAGTACATCACATGATCACAGTAGGTACGAGCACAAGGACATGCAATATATAGAAATAACACATGGTGTAGCTACCTAACGGCCAGAGAAACAAATTACATGCAAATGATACATTGCCTCAACCGCGGACTAGTGGCTGTGTAGAACGTACAGTGGGTGGTGTACTTCAAGCGGACAACACACTGAGCAATGCATGAATGGCGCATCTATATTGGCTACACACTTACCGAGCAGACCGTGACTGGAAAATCGCCCAATGCAGGCGGGATAACCAGCGAAAAGAGAACGCAAATATTTACGAGTGGGGTGCTCAAGCATGTTATAGCTGTGAGCCTGCAGTTTCTGACATTCTGGAGAAGGTAAGGCGATTTATGTCAAAGGCAATGGAAGGGATGTTAGACCGGCGATGGATTCAAACTTTGTAGTACAGAACGCGTTCACAAGCATACACATGACCAGCGCATCATCGTCTTGTCTCAGCGCGGACCGTACTGGACGGATACACTATGTCAATCGTTATCGGGCCACTCTGAGCAGGACAGCGCGACACCATAGACAATACTCAATACCCATGACTTGACAACTTTGACACCGATCCTGCTGCCACCAAGTGCTTGCTGCACCCAGGCGAGCGGCGGCATGCTTAACAACCGCAGCCAGATGAGCCAGTCTCCTGCTTGTCCTCCTGTTGGTTCATGTCTTTCAAGTTGATGTCACGGGCATCGTCCATAGTCTGCGCCATCTTGTCACAGATCAAACCTACAAGTTCATCAAATGACTGCAATCAGCAATCAGTGGAGAGGCAAACAATAAGAACTATCAGTCAACATAGACAGAAAATTACTCATGATCCACAGTCACCACTGAAATTTACATTATGAAACCGACGGGACCGAGCGGACACTTTAGAGCTAACAGCTGCAGCTAGATGGCTCAGATGCCCGCGTCAACTGGTCCATGTCGGGCGTAGTGTAACTACATCCACTGTCATCCACAGTCTCTGCAAGCTTGCTACGAATCAAATCTGACAGTTCGTCAAACGACTGCAGAGAAAAACAGCCAAGCAGAGGCAAGCCGTGAAAACTGACTGCTGGTGCTGGAAAAACAGATGTGGACATACCACGGTTGCTCATTTTAACTTTCAGCAGTTCTGAACCACACCTACTGGTTACTACAGCTGTACTGGCATACAGCTAATATTTTATAATGCTACATAATGCACCTGACTGGTAGTGACGTCAGCTTTCCTGACCACATACCGTATTTCCCTGAATATAAGTCGCACCTTTTTACACTAAACTTGAAGGGCAAAGAAGGGGATGCGACTTACAATCGAGAGTAACATCCTACTTATATGCATGTATAGAAACAATGTGGTTCAAACCTCAAAGTGTGGGTGCGACTTATAATCGAGTGTGATTTACAATCGGGGAAATACGGTAACAAAATGTGTACAAGTATGAGTAAGTGTTGAGACCAAATAGAACCTCGCCACCATAGTGATTCCGCTCTTCGTCAAGAATTACGCGGCTTATGAAAAACAAACAAAATGTATTTTCTCCTTACTTCTGCTACATTGGTACCGGCTTTTGCACTTGCTTCCTTGAAGCTATAGCCAAGGATATCTGCTAGCTGCTGCCCCTTTGCCGTGGTGACTTTCCTGTCCTCGCGATCACACTTGTTGCCAACAAGAATAACCTGTACAAAGGGAAAACGGAACCGGGAGAAAAATTCATACGTGAAGAAAGTGCAAAGAAATTTTGCCAATAGCTACAGCTGCTCCGTGCGCCAATGGAGCCGGCACAACAACGGATGATTCGCTTCAGTGACTCTGCTCTGTGCTGGAATATATGTTGCCGGAATAGTACCCGCTGAACAAAGAAAATGAATAGGAAATGGCTGAGCAAACAAGGCAACAAGGTACCACGGCCATCATTCAAAGACCGACTGGAAGCAATGTTGCAAGTTCCTACTTGGAATACTCACTCTATACCACAATAACTACAGAGCGTTTAATAATAGCATACGTGCCGTCCTTTTATATAACAAAACGCTTCCACATAAACCACGCAGAGCGAGTGACCTCTTTAGTACCGCACTCCTGCAAGCAACTGTTATCTGCACTGTAGAAAGTACAGTACACGTTCTCAGATCTACTTCCAAGGACATCAGCTGTCGAGCGGCAGAGTAACTGCAGCGTCAGTTGTCCAGCATCAGATTGAAAAGAATTTTTTTAACGAGAGAAAACGTGTGTTTCAATTGCAGAAGCACTCTGCAGAGGATTCATCTCATAAAATGAAGATCTCGCACGGTTACGCCGTTCGTAACCAAGATTCCGCTTGCTTCTAGCTACTGGAAGTGTATCGCCTGGCGCAGTCAAATGATTGCTTCTTCCAAATTTCACCATTAAATTTTCTTCTACGCATGTCCTTGCATCATTCTGTACCATTTTAATTTCCAAATTTCACATTCCTCCTATTATTCTCTTCTTCTTCCCAAGGCAGGGCGAATCCTACATTTTAAGTTTATTGTTTGCCCTACGGAGAAGAGTACCAAAACCTTGGTACTTTATCAAGATATAGCATGGTGAAAGACACAAAAAGATTGAACACAAATATTTCTCATGAACAACACGTAATACATGTGAACAGAGATGAAGGACTAGAACTGGTAGTATTCGCGTTTGGAAGAAGACAGTTCAGTAAGACACCAACTCACCTGCGCATTGTCCCACGAATATGACTTGATGGCAGTTGACCTGTTGCAGATATGCACACACAGTGATGACAGCCCAGCAGCCAGAAAACCAAAATACAGAAAACGGAAAATTCACGCAAACAGAACGCGTAGACTGTATTTGTAGGTGGAAATCAGAACTGGTCATATCAACTTGGTAATGATGACTTCCAACTTGCTTGGGTACTGTATAAGTACACATTTTCGTTCACGAAATCTTTCGTTAGATCACTCCGCCAGCAGGTTCGTTACGTACTAAAGTTCGTTTTTGGTCGAGGTCTGTCACCCCGAACGTTCGGAAAAAAAGTTTAGTTTGGTACAAACTTTAGTTATTTCGTGCCCCTAACGAACATAGCGAAAGTTAATTTTAAACGAAACTTTGTACTTATACAGTAATATATTGACCTTTGATAAATACCCACACTCATTAGTGACCACACCATCAACAGTATCAAATTCAAATAATCTTGCTTTGACTCAATAAATACCACTGTACTTTTCCATGTAGCACTGCACTTTTCCCTAAAAAGGAGTATTTTATAAACAGTATTTATTGGCTTTTGACCAATAAAATACTGTTTATAAAATACCTCTAGGGCCAATAAGTATATGTTATCGCATGGTTGCAAGGGCCTTATGGCATATTATTGCCCCGAGGGCTAACCTCGAGGGGCAATAATATGCCATAAGGCCCGCAGCAACCATGCGATAACAAATTTATCGCATGGCCCACAGAGCAGACCATTGGGCTGCTGTTGAAATTAGCCCAAATGCCAACACATTATGACCACAATGTATATTGATGTGCTATCATTATCAAAACAGGAAAAATGAAGATATTTCTCCTACACCCTAACAAAAAGTCTGCTACAGGCCATCAGAGAGTATACAGTACTGAAAGACGGAGACAGAAAAAAAAGTGCCGGCACCGCATCGTCATAGCAATAGACATGGCAACGACAATAAAATACAGCAGAATCATAATTTCAGTTGAAAAATTAAGAGTGCTACCACAAAGAGTTTCTTCATGTTTACATGTGTATCAGGAAGTTGTCAAATACAGTACTGCAACAAGTGCAAGTATTTGACGACTCCCTGGTGTGTAATTCTGAGGACAATTTTTCTTCTTTTTTTTCAGCTCCAGATAGCTGTATTTTTCATTGCAAAACATTCCTGAATTGTTGTGTTTGTTGTTCAAGCAAAGGTGAAGGTGTAGTGCATATTCACGAACATTCTACAGTCCATGCACACGTGACATTACGCAATGATTGCATAGGCAAATTCTAGTTACTTCCCTTTTGATTACGTAGTGATTACATCACTTACACATTACCCATTTGCCACATCGAGCGTATGACGTTTTTCCATGTTCTTTCTCTCTACCATGTCATGATGCAATACTGATTGCACCTACATGATGCAATACTGCTTTGTACTTACATCAGCAATTGCAATTCTCATGACCACATCCGTTTCCTTCTTGCACTTTCTACCGCAACGCACAATTGCTAACGCTTCTCTCTCTACCCTATATAAGCTGCATTCGCTTGCATATAATTATTATTCAGATCAATCGTAATCTTTTCCATTCCGACTCAACTTAAATTAGTGCTTTCTTAGTTGTAATAAAACGTTGTGTTCCACGACCCGTTGCACGGCTGAGTTGAATCTAGCGAAGCACTAAATTGGTGACCCCGACGTGATCGATTTCCGACCTGATTCAACGTTCTGTGCAATTTTTAGAAATGTCCGACAACGAGCAACCCGCTCCCGCTCTCGAGGCTAATGCCGCTCCAGACCAAGCTGCAAACCCCGCTGGAAACGCTGGTCCACCAGACGCTCCGGCCCAAGACGGCCCTGCCGCAAGGACCATCGCGCCAGTCAACTTCAAACTGCCGCCGTTCTGGCCAGGTGACCCGCAGTTACGGTTTGCGCAGGCTGAAGCTCACTTCTCCAACCACCGGATTAACACCTCCCGAGCACGGTACAATGTGATCGTGTCATCGCTAGCTCCGGAGTTTGCAACAGAGATCCGTGACCTGTTGATCGCTCCACCGGAAGACGAACCCTACGCCAAGCTGAGGGCTGCACTCACAACACGGACGCAAAAGTCGGAGCAAATCCGTCTTCGAGAGCTGTTGTCAACCGCCGACGTCGGTGACAGCAAACCCAGCAAGGTCCTACGCAGAATGCAGCAGCTACTGGGAGGAAAATCGCTTGACCCTTCTATCTTGCGGGAACTCTTCGTGCAACGTCTACCCCCAGCTGTCCGTCAGATTCTAGCAGCTACACCTACGACTCTGTCTCTGGAGGAGTTAGCGGCCCTCGCTGACAAAGTGGCCGAGTCTACAGTCCCATCAGCGAACACTCAAGTACACGCAGTTTCGGAAAAGGCCACTTCAAAAACTGCTGCAGTCGGCTCAACTGCCTCAAGTGCTACCACTTGTTTCAGCCCCAGCTCTGACTCGACGACTCAGCTGTCGCTACTCCGTTCGGACTTGGACAAGCTGTGTCTGACTGTACAAGCGCTAACCAAGGTGCGCTCCCGTGGACGTGACGATTGCCCCATCAAAACGGCGGGATTTCCAACACGGGATCGGCGCACTGGACGCAGCGCTTCCCGCTCTCCCAGCCGCGCCGTACGCATTGAGGACACCGATAGCGACGACGTCTGCTGGTTCCACGCCAAGTTTGGTGACAAAGCTCGACGTTGCCGATCTCCATGCCGTCTGTCGGGAAACGGGACCGCCAGCCGCTAATCGCGACCACTAGCCCGGCTGGCTCCACCTCCACTTCTGAAGGTCGCCTCCTGTATATGCGTGACCGTGTCAACGGAATCAATTTCCTGATCGACACCGGCGCCTCAGTAAGTGTACTTCCTCCGTCCTTTGCTACCTCTGTAAAACGTTGTCATAGCCCTAGTCTTCGTGCCGCCAATCACAGTACTATAGAAACGCATGGTCAACAATTCCTTGAGCTTGACATTGGTCTCCGTCGGTCGTTCAAATGGGTGTTCGTTGTCGCCGATGTCAATTACCCTATCCTCGGAGCCGATTTCCTGTGCCACTACAAGCTGACTGTCGATCTTGCAACGGGACAACTGCAGGACTCCTAAAAGGCAGAGGACAGATGAGCCTGGTAAGATTTTGCGTGGCACATGAAGACCACACACAGGCAGTGACTTTGCGAGGATATGAAAACGCACGACGCTGAGTTGAATTTGTGTTATTTCAAATAATTGTTTGTGATCACAGTACCACTTCGAGCAGAACTGAATCTTATCCACAAGCTTACCGACGGTCAGGCTGCCAACATGACTGAACAAATGATCCCTGCAAGCACCACGCGGCAGACGTCCGAGGCCATGTCCATTGCCGGGATGTCCATCTCCAAAAAGAATTCCATCTTCGTCTCAATGCTACACTGCGACTCGTAGAGTCGTACAGTCTACAGAGTAGTCACGCGATCACTGAAATAAACTATTTTTTTGCGGGCAATTAAACTTTTTTTTTGCGGGCAATATCGCATATTATTGCCGGCGGCGCGAAAGGTGCTGATTCGCTGGAGTACGGGTAACAATCACGTGCCATGTGATAAATACTGTTTATAAAATACTCCTTTTTAGGGAAAGTGAAGGTCAACATATGTATAATAAATGTAGTAGCCTCAGGATTTATTGCAATTGCATACCAGTTATAAAATCCTCGGCAGACCTCGGTTTTTATATAAATCCTTCGGCTCTACATTTATTATATACGTAACAAAGTGATAACAACAGCCCGTGATTCCTGGATCCATACTTCCAGGGTATATTCTTGGACGAATTTCCAACCGGTTACGGTCCAATGAAGAGTTGGGGGGTCCGGGGGTCCCCCTGAAATTTTTTTCAAAATACAACCCAAATATGGCACTCGACAGCAATTTAACAGATTTCTTGGTGCTGGAGTGTAGCAAAGATATAAGCAGCTCCATTCACCCACAGAAAAGTACGGGCGGTTGGAACTGATTTGTAACTTTTCAACCGGTCGCCAACAATTTCAACCGGTCGAAAACCGGTTGGGGCGGTTCTAGAAAATTCCCTGTTCCATCGCTGTGCACATTTACGCCAGATATTGGCTGCCATGGAGATAGGCCCCTAGCGCCGCACGCTGCTGTGACTTCACAGCACCTCCTGTTGACCTCACCCAGTCTATTCACTCAGATAAAGCGACTTCTAAACATGGGTTTCTGTTGGCAAGTCGAGGCTCGTGACTAGACTAGTATCAGACATTACTTGAGGGTGGTGGCGTTTCTACGGATGCGAAAAGCTCAGTCTCTAGCTGAGTCTCACAGGAACCGTGGATTTTTATTTTATTTTTTTACAGCAGGGATCTGCCATTTACCAAGGGACCCAGGGTACTCGTGAGAAGGAATTAAAATGAAGTGAAGAAGAAAAAGACAAGAACAACTAACAGCGATGTACTTTATTGATCGAACTCTTGAAATTCCTTGCATCTACAGGTATATGCCTTTTGAAGATCAATCACACTAGAATATTTCATTCATAGAATGTGCATAGTACGGAAAATGAATGAATATATTCTAGTGGGAATGTTCAGTATACACATGTCCCATTGTCACTCACTGGATTGTGCTGTGTGTCATGTCCTCGTGTTACCCTGTACTGTAGATGTAGGAGATTCCAGGTGTGGAATGCACGGGGCAGCACCACCACCTTATGCAAATAACCACACATGGCTGTCATGCCTCATGGGTAGAGTGGATGAGTACCAACTAGTGTATGAGTAAGCAGGACCTGGGCAAGGCTATCCAAAGTGCTCTAAGTGTGCAGAAGTGCAGAGCAAGCAAGCCCCCTAGTAGGCCTAACCAAGTAACTACTTTCCATGCAAGGCTGAACATACTGTAACAGCTTACACAACATACTCAACATATTATCTAGATCCATTCCAATGTCGTGGAGTCCTTACTACTTCACTCTTCAGTTTTCACCAGGTACTGGTTCCTTGATTTGAGGGCAGCACTGACCAGGAGACATGTGCAACCCCACTTCAGCTGCATGCACAGCACTCAGCACTACTTCAGCCTGGCCGGCCCAGAGCATGCAGGCTGCACAGGTTGCACATGTCACATGATCATACTTCATAGCCATGCGACTATTATTTTGTCAGTTTTGTATGACCTTCACCTCCTTCACAAAAGTCAATAATTATGTGAATTGTTCAATGAGCAATGTTGACTGCAGGCCCCATCTTCCCCACACGCACACAATCCACACAACTGAAGAAGATTCCTATGCAAGGAGAGTGCAGCACGCTGCTGTTTCAGCAACTGTAAATTTCACCCTGCGGAGGATCAAGCCAACTGACTGTGGCGACATTCTTTTCAGCAAAGACATCCCACAGTGTACTGGTACATAATAAGTTACACTGCCTACTGGTATAACTGGCGAAATCCCTGATCTTTTACAGTACGAAAAAGCGTACTAGTATGTGTTACCAATGCAGGAGTTTTGAATGAACTGACACTGATTGACACGTACGTAATGCGACTCGGGACACCCATCACGGATTCTGCTCGGATGAATAACAATTTCCGTTGCCCGCTCGCCGTTCTCAAGGTTTCGTATTTACACGTGCAGAAAATGAACATAGCAACTCAGACACTGCTTACCAATCTTGCACAGCACGGAAAGACTCTTCGCTCCCAATGTCGTACATGAGGATAAATCCCATTGATCCGCGATAGTAAGCCGTCGTGATCGCTCTGTAGCGCTCCTGTCCGGCTGTGTCCCAAATCTGCAGCTTTATTCTCTTTCCATGCTTAGTGATTGTCTTTACTTTGAAGTCGATGCCCACCGTCGACACGAAGCTGCCGCGAAACACGTCGTCAGTGTAGCGAAATAGATAGCAGGTTTTCCCTACTCCACTGTTCCCCACCAGCAACAGCTTGAACATGTAATCGAAATTCTGGCTATCGTCCACAACCGCGCTGCCCGCCGCATTTCCAGCCGACGCCATCTCGCCCGCTTACTCGAATCTCCCAACTTTCAAGTCACCAACGTCCAGCTACCAGCAACCTCCACAGACGAAACAGATGCAAAGTCAAGGCTTGCTTCAATCACTTCACAATGCAATGTGCCAATGGAAACTGTGACTGAAAAGTGAAAATAATCATGCCAAATCCCCACTGGCCCGAATTCCGTGCACATGCACAAACAACGCAGGTCAGTTTTACTGACCATACAGCAGTACAGGCATACTTCAGTTCAGACCAGGTCTCGGCGGCATGCACCTGCCCGAGTAGATCTACAACTAACACTTAGTACAAGTACAAGTCACTGCATGCCATGCCTGCATTATGCCGAAGCTGCACAATGAAATCCGATCGCGTGGGTCAAGTAGTTTGCACTGGGCACCAGTACAGTATGCAGTCGCAGTCCAGTATTCAATGGTATTCGCAGGTCTAAAAAGGGCTGCGAACAGTCTTGTGCACACTTGAGTGACTTGAGCGGATTTCATTGAGCAGCATGCATTGTGGAGGGGACGGCTCGATACCGGGACGCTTTGACAGCCAATTTTTTTTTTTTTTTTTTTTTACTTGTATAGACCCAAAATCGAGTTGTTTCTGCACTGTTCATGCCCGTTTGTCACACTTACTCTTTATTTTAGTTCTCACTTTTTGTAATACTTACCACAAGTTACCCGTCATGTGTCACACTTCTTTGGATTTTTAACCTTTGTTTTTCCCTTGATCTCTTTAGTTCCGTATTTCCACTGATGATCGGAGCGTGAAAATCGATTTTGGAAACACACAAAACCAAACCTTGAACAAATTGTCATGTTGCGTGGTGATGTCTGCGGCATTCATACTTTTCATAGCTATTAATAATAATAATAATAAAATTCACTCTGGGTCTGAAATTAGGTAATTGCTATCGCTCCACGACGGCCAGTACAGAGTAACAATAAGCCTTGTGTGTGCTTCCATTAGTTTTGATTGGTATGCGGTGCTTTATTGGCGAGAGGCGAGCCGCTGTTTACCTGCGACAAGAAGTTGATTTTTCGAAAGTCGTAAAACTCAAGTCGCAGTGCGAAGCAACACGTCAAAAACTCACCTGCTTGATATGGCGCTTCTGGTCATCGCAGAGCCATGAAATTTTGGCTCGGAGTATAACACATCGTAGTCTCACTGTGACATATATTTTCTAATCAAAATACCAAGAGAGAAAGTGAATATTGAGTCCGTTCCGGTTTGCAACCTACATGTATGTCCTATTTGAAACCGTCCCCTCTACATGTACACGTACAAGAACATGACTTCTCTTTGGCTATGAATAATGAAGTACATGTGCTGTGTGATGTGGTCACATTGTGGTGCGCACATCTCCGCCCTGTACTGGCGTAGTCAGCTTTTCCCGTTTGAATCCCTTGCCCTTGCAATGGCCAAGGCAAGGGCAAGGGATTATCTCTATGGCATAGAAATAATGTTGTAATTCAAATAATTGGCCCATACAAGAGATCGGGGTAAGCGGATTATGCAGGCATAATTAATTTCGGCATGATCAGCCTAAATCAGGTGCTTTTTGAGAAGGAGCATAAACGGCATCCGAAAAACAAGGGCAGATGCCCAATGTCAATGAGGCTGATACACACCTGCTATTGAATGACCATACATGTACATAGCGCTTCTTGTCGATTTGGAATAATATTTTAGCAGCCGCTATAGGACATCTCCCAAATGGTCAGCGGTTGCTTGTGAATTTGGTATTCCTCTTGCACATGTACATGTACATGTACATGCATAATTATTGTCTTGTACTTCCACAAAACTCCCAGTCCACATCATGACAATGGTCTGAGTCCATTTTTCATGACGATTATCTGTTCTTTTTGGTGAAGCATAATACAGTACATGTAATGTACATTGTACATGTACATGTAAAAGCACAATTGACTGTTTTCTCGAGCATCCTGCGAGTATCCGCTAGAGCATAATTTGGTCACTTTCCGAGCATACTCCGCTCACCCCTAACAAGAGACGTCTGAGAATGAGACGCGGTCAGTAAAGTTGTTGTTTTTGTGTTTTTTTATTTACATGTACATGTACATTGTACATGACGTGTAGTACATGTGCATGACGTGTAGTACATGTGCATGTACAATGTAGTTCAAGCAATCAGGCAAAGGTCCCTTCTCACACGGAGACCACTTAGGAGAAAAGAAGGAGAAATGGAAGGTGTAATTTGTAATCATTAATATTATGATGTAGAGGCGATTCTACATCATCCATGATGGCAACATGACTTGGAACGGTCAATGACTACACGTACATGTACATGTAGGTGACAATTGTGGTTAAACCACAGTCCAACCGTGGCTACAGCCTACATGTAGCTAGACCAAGAGAACCGAGACTCGGCGAGAGCTGTTGCTTACCCTTTGTGGACCAAGATAAGGTCATACCTGTACATAAGCTCATACATTATAAGCTCCATGGCCATACAATGTCAATGGTCATGGAGCTTATGATCCATAAACCAGGGGGGGGGGGGGGGGGAGAGAGAGTCCCGTAGCCTGGTACATGGTAAGCAGGGGGAGGGGCAGGGGGTAACCATGGTAACGGACAGGGTGCTAGGTACAGTGTATGTGTAACGGCATTGTTGTGTGCATGGCCATGAAAATGAGTCAATGACTATGGCATGACTCATGGGGCTTTGGCCCAGTAGTTTGGGATAGGACATACATGTACATGTACTTATGCTGCACCGTCTGAGCTGTACCACAGGTCCAGCAACACGACCTTGATGACCATGATGACGGATGTCACCATCGCGTGGGCCGTCAGACTTGGCTGGGGTCCTGAAGCTACTCGACTCGCCAACAGCACACTACAGTAGTACAGATGCATCATTCTGACCTTCCTCTTCTTCCCCTCACTTATCACTTATCATCGACGAGAGGCATTCAGCCGAATAAGCCTGGCTCATACCGGGTAAAATCTTAGTAAAGTCCCTACAATGGTCCATGCGTTTTGCACATGCATTGACTGAACATATAGATCTCCTTCAAACACAATCAGTTCCGTGTTGTTTAGTTTTGTTTGCTGCATGACTTGCACACGTCGGGTACCAATACTGCAGTAAAATAATTATGCGGATTGCCTTCGGTTCAGCGAGGCTACCTCTGAAAACTCGATATTTTCAGAGTTTGCAGCCTGATTACACCGGCATGCCGCGATGATAGTGTTTATTTCGGACCTACATTGTACTTTTCCGTATCAATGTCGTGCTTCTCACACGTTCTCAGATGTCGGCTGCGAGAAGTCCACAGGGGCTTGCTATTTTGAAGCGTTGAAGAGGAGAAATCCAAACACGGATGCAAGCAGAAACACGTACTTGCTTGTTATGATTATTGTTCTCTTTATTATTTTTCCCTTCTGGTTTAGTTATTACACGTATTTATATTATTTGGTGCAATACTAGCGCCCCTTTCTCGCACCAAATTGTTATTTTTGCTACTTGACCATGCAACCCCCTTTTTTTTTCGATGCCAGGTTGCAACGCTAACGCGGAGACCCCTGGTCGGTCGAGTTGCTCTCTGTACATCGGCACGTCGTCCCTACATCCCCTGTGTCTTGTTTTGTGTTTGTCTCCACATGTCCCTTTGTAGGGCTGTGTTTCCAATAAAAACAAAAACAAAAAAACAAAAAAACCGTGCACATACATGTACATGTACATGACACACACTTCCTCATGGCCAAAACTGGCCACATGGGTCTTCCTAGAAGAGGAGAGAGCCTGAGAGATTTAAAAGGAATCTTGGAAGGATGCATCCATGTTTTCCTCGTGCCAGGCCACGAGTTCCCAATTAACTGTGGGTCGCAGCACGGCTGGAAAAAATCCTTCCGCTTCCAAGCAGGACTTGAACCTGGTACCCTCTGTTTCTCAATCATGGTCTTAGACCATCCCACTATGCCTGCCTGCATGGATGCAGTGAATGGGATTTTCGGTCTTTGACCACTTGCTGGTGAGCTGATCTACTCACCTCCCACCGCTTTAGGAGCTGCATCTGCGCCTTGATCCTTGAAGAGTGGTGGCGTTCCTACGGATGCGGAAAACCCGGCTTCCAGCCGAGTCTCACGCGAACCGTGAATTTTTTTAATTTTTTTGGAAGGATGGCTCGATTGGCTACTGAACCGCCGAACGCCGACACCCCCTGAAATCCCCACCTCTGGGTGGACTTGGAAATGATCCAACGTATGGGCCGTACACCGCAGAAAGTGGGTGAGGACAAGTTGCAGATGGATTGACGGCATCAATTAAAGGAATCCGTGTCGAGATCCAACTGCATTTACTCCTACCCCAGTGAAGCTAATACTTGCTACTGGCGCCAGTACATGTAGTATTGGCGTGGATTGCTAAATCAGAGCAGATGTCTGATATAGGCTTCGCTAGCACCATTGATTTCACAAGAGTTTATCTAGCCAGAAGCAGGGCATTGGCCAATAGGTCTAGGTACTTTGAACAGAAGCACACAGACACACACACACGTGTGTGCGCTCATAAGTTACACACACACACATGCACACACATACAAACAAACAAGCACACAAACTCACTCACTGGTACTTGCTCACTGCCATGTAGCCCTTGGCGGATTATGCCGGCATTAATATTTGGCATAATCTTGGGATTTCGTCAAAAAATTATGCTCCGGCATAATAATAATATTATACGGATTCCAACGTGTAAGGTCGGCATAATCTTTCGGTTTAGACAAAAATGATGCTTTGGGCATAATACAGCTTTGTCCTCCGGCATAATACGGACTCCAACGTGTAAGGTCGGCATAATCTTTCGGTTTAGACAAAAAATTATGCTTAGGGCATAATACAGCTTAGGGACCGGCGGATTCTGCTCGAAAAGGTGGCAGATTCTGCTCGAAGAGCAGTGAAATTGGCAGAACCATACAAACCTTATGGCGGGCAATTCCTCGAATTCTCCTCCATTTCTTTATCCACATACCAAACATACATGAAACTTACCAGAAAAAGTACCAAATTCTGCCAATGTTTCTGCCGGCAGAATCCACCGGACCCTAATACAGCTTTGTCAGAAAGCCCTGAGGCCGCGTGTGTGTATGCGTGGTTTCTCAATCCTCTATGTACCGCGTGAATACATAGTGGAACCGACCCTAATTCAGCATATTTGT